GCCGAAAAACAATGCAATGGTATTGATGAGGTCCAGTGATGAGTCAAACAATCTCCGCCCACTTCGAAGGAGGAGTTGAATTGCAGCCCACCAAACACAAATCAATTTCGAATCATCTAAATCAATACCTGTTTTCTTCAAAATGTCAGGCATTTTATTATTTTCCTTCGATCCCTTTTCCTTCCGGTGATATCATTCCTCTTGGGATTGGGACATACTTTTGTCTTATTGACTATTTCATGCCCTTATCATTGTTTCACTGTCGTTATTTTGCAGTTGCTAATCATGAATTTGGCTACGGGAATACAACAGACGAAGGTAATCTACATTTCCAGGCTTGATAGCAAGGCCTAGAGAATTCAAACAAACAAAATCAATTTCCTTTGTATTTGTTAGCCCTCATTAACAAGCTGAATTTTTTTTAAGCTATGGAAAAAACTTTAGCAGGGCAAGATTTTCTTCAATTGTAACCGTGACACTGTTTTCATAAATCGAGACATGTTTTTATTCTATTAATAATATATAGTGTATGGCCCACCGGACTGGCACAAGGGATGGGAGGACTGCGGCCATGACCACCAATCCCCAATTAACATCGACACAAGTAAAGTGGTAAACAAGGACTATCGTGATTTGAAAATAGCGTTCGACAACCAGGGGGGCCTGGTCACGGGAAAGCTCGAAAACACTGGTAACTCGCCTACTTTGTATATCGACAAGTCCAAAGGAACAGCTGAAGTAACAGGGGGTCCCCTGGGGGATACCATCTACACACTGAATCAGATCCATGTTCACTTTGGCTGTGAAAACAGCCGTGGATCTGAGCACACTCTAAACGGGAAGCGGTTCGCTGGCCAGGTAACGACGCAAATTGCGCCATTTGTTTTTTTGTTTTTTTTTTGATAAATGACTTCCAGGTTCTATGTATTGTCTTCCGCATTGATAGATGATTTTTATACCTTACCATACCAAAATTCTCCCTGTCTACTGTCCTGATATCCTGTGATATCACGTCACTGACCTGATATGGCTACGATATCATGCTAACTTGGCCGAATTTAGGTACGGTAACCTTTTTGTTACGCTTGGGCGCCATATTAGACTTGTTTTTGTCTCGCCAGCCATGGATATTTTGGCTATTCTACGTCTCACAAAATACGAACCATGGCCCGACCAAACACCCCTGATATGCCGCCGAAGCATACCAAAAAGGTATGATCAGGTATAAATACGGTGCATCACTTTTGTTCATCATCAGTTCTCTTCAGAATTATTCTGAAGTAACGCCCATACAGTTCTATCTGAAGTAACTTCCTGTTAGTGTTCTATCAAATTTCTGCTAATGACCTGCAGTGCCTTCTCTTTTCCTATTTATATTAGCTGTCAAAGTCGTATACAAGATAAACTTTTGTTCTCTAAATTTATGAAACGTGTTTCTCTTTAAAACCGGGTTGACGTAGAATAGCTTTGTCTATTTACTTCTCTTTTCCTCCAAGCTCCATATGGTATTTGAAAATTCAGGACAATATGCAGTCGTAGCCCTCTGGCTTAAGGTACATATTGCTATTATGCTTAACGTTACTATCTTATTCTATCCATCTGTTATCCGTACTTAGGGTAAACAAATTTGCAATACAATCAGCCAGTCAGAAGCCTAGTCTACTGTCCTAACATCCTATGATTTTAGGTCACTGACCTGATATGGCTATGATTTCATGGTCACTTTCAAGTACAGAAATTTTTACTTCAGTTAAATTGAAAAGAGGATTTTAAAATAGAATATCAAGATTGTTATTCAATGTTGAACAATTGTTTTCGGTGCGCAAAAATTGTCAAAACTTTCCCGCCAAACTAAACTTGATCGCGCGCATAACTGGAGAAAAAGCACGATTAGGTTCTTTAGATCTAATCGTGTTCGTGGTTTGGCTCGCCTTCGAACTATGACCCCACCAAAGTCACCCGATATGCCGCCGCAGTTTGCAAAAGAAAGGACCATCAGGAATAAATATTATGCAAAAATGACAATGTGTAGATAGTTTCATTTTCATGCAAATCTCATCTTCATATGAAGGGTTTGGACTGGACTCGTTTGGAAACAGACTGTAACTCGGAAATGGCCCATTGACAAGGTAACCTTTCCGTCGCCGCCCCTAACAACAAAATAGCGTCTCACTTTTATTTAAAGATTCACGAACAGTTTTTTTTTTTTATAAGCGAAATGAAGTTGCTCTCAACAAAAAACCGTTAGAAAGTAAACGACAAACTTTAGAACACATTAAGGACGGTGCCTACTTTTGTTAGTGCGCACACGTTCTCCGCAAGCATGGTTTAAGCGCCACGCGCACGCTGGGGTTGACATTGACACAATCAACTACGCTACCAAGTACACGATTAAAATGAAAGCAAAATTTTCCTACTGTGACCCTATCAAGTTTAATGAACATGTACTTAAACCAGGAACACCAGAATAGAAGCATAACGCTAACGACTAACTGTTAACGTCTTCCAGCTTAAAACCTGGCTGTTATCTGTCGAAAATTGCACTATAATCCAACCGTAAACATGTACCAGCAGATGATCTGGTGTGCGCGCAAAACAAGTGCGAGAGAGGCAAGTGCCTTACTTACTAGGGAGGTGACAGGAATAAATGTAACGGTCACCGTAAAAGTTTTCAAAAAGATCAATAACTTTGAAAAACGTGTGGTTACCCCTACATTTTATGTTATAAAATGGAAGTGGCAAGCCCCTTCAACACGTGATTAGTTTCTGGTTGTGAGCAAAAGATATTTAGACTGTATTTTAGCTGAACCAGCGGAAGACTGTCACAGACGCTAAAAGCGCTGTTGCAACGATTTTGTTTTTAAAAACATACCAAAAAAGGCTTTTATGTTACCATTTGCCATGTGGTTTAAAGATCTTTTTAAATGTGTTTATCTTCCGTATGTAAAGGATAATTCTAAGGAAATCTGTGAAAAAATTTCTTTTCTTTCTTTTTTCAGAAAAATGTTGATGTCAGCATTTTTGTTGAGATTCAAGGTTAATTATCTCGAAAAAATGCGTGGCTACCCCCATTTTTCTTTGTGGATACCAATAGCCCTCGTAAAGATCTACTTTTTCCGCGTGGTCCTAACCTGGTGCAAAAACCTTTGTATTTAGTAGGCGCCGTCCTTAAGTTGGGAATTAATTATTTGTTCACTGTGTATTGTTTGTTACTTTAGCCCTCTTCAAGTGGAAACCCAATTTTAGGAAAGTTTGCAAATTTGCTTCCTAACATCATTGAAGTTGGTAGGTAAATTTTCTATGTGCATGTAACAAGCCATTCATAAAGTTAAATTTATTTACACGTTTACAGGTTTATGGGCTGACAGGATGTGAAAGTTACAGCGAATTAAAATTTCTGAATAACTTGACTCCACGCGGCGTCTGGATGAGGCCGACGGGAAGCGGGCAATTAACAAAATTTAACTGACAACTGTCAAATGGCTAATATTTTACTATACAAAGCAGGGGCCTCCGGATCGAACGGTCAGGCTTCGAGTCCTGTCTGGGGACATGATGTTATGTTCTTGGGCAAGACACTTTACACTCTCAGTGCCTCTCTCCACCCAGGTGTATAAATTTGTACCGCCGAACTTAATGCTTGGGGAAACCCCTGCGGTGGACTAGTATCCCATCCAGGAATGAGTAGAAGTTTTCCTAGTCGCTTGATGCTACATGTACAGAGACCGAGATAAGCTCCGGCCTGATTGGCCACTTGGCTCGTATGGAGACCCTACCTATCTATCTTTTGTATATAAAAAAAGCTAAAATTTTATTTTAGTTTATTTTCATGTTTAATTTGTTGTGTGTGTTAGCTTAAAAGCTAACCAACGTTCTTATTTCTGATGTTCAAATTACCTCTGACTATAGGCTGGTATAGCTAGTTGGAAAACTTTGATTTTACATCGAGGAAGCTAGCATTCACACTCTACTGATCGTTTACCCAATTCTCGTCAACTGCTTACTTCATTATGCACTGAATGTATGAGGAGAAACTAACTTATGGTCACAACTTGGCGTTAAACAGAAGATTGTTTACACAGGGCCGAGCAAGGAAGTAGATAAGTCTGACGGTATTCGTTTGATGGGGCTTCTACCCAACAACAACAACAATAGAAGCAATGGAGGCAATGGAGGTAAATAAATGGAGGCAATGGACTCAACGGAAACGGCGGCAATAATGGCAACGGTGACGACAAGAAGGAAGTGATACTAACAGACTACTTCCACTACAAGGGATCCCTTACCACCCCTCCCTGTTATGAAACAGTAAAGTGGCTGGTTCTAAAACCCAAGCTTCGAGCCTCTAACAATCAGGTGAGTACATGTTAACCTACTCATTAAGCTACTCGTTTCAATTTTGCTAACTTTGTTGCAGGCCTCAGAAATAACTGAGCAGTATTTGATAAGCCCTTGAATAAACGAGAACAATAGCAAGAGAATAATAGACGGTTTTCGTATTCTCGGCATTGGACTGGCCGGAACTAGCTTGCAACTGAGGCTAATGTGGGGAGTCTTTCAAATGCAAATGACATTAATCTCTTTTAAATGGTATTCCCCCGCATTAGCCTCCGTTGCAAGTTGGAGTTCCAGTCTGATACCGAGAACACGAAAATGGTCTGTAACGTGCACATTAATCCATAAACACCGCACTGCAGTAGCACAGCGAATTGTGACTGCCGTCCTTGATTCACGTGAAATACGTCTTAGAATGGTCTAGCTTTTCTAAGAACAGATCGTAATGCTCAAAAGAGTTGAAAGCAGGTTATATGTTTTTGTTGTTGTTGTTTATTTGCATGCAAATTTTGTTTCTGTTTGACTGTGTGTTTTTTTGTTTTTTGTTTTTTGTTTTTTGTCTTTGCAGTTGGAACAGTTTAGAAAGCTGAAAGCACATTATGGTCGTTTTCCTGATCTTATGTGCGACAATTACAGACCTCTACAGCCACTGAAGGGACGTAAAGTTTACTCCGTTGGAAACAAAAATTAGAGAAAACAGTACCTCATAGATCTAATAACTTGTACGGATCATATAAACTCTTGCCCCTCTCTCTCGATAGTTCTGAAACTAGTTGTGGGGGCAAGCAATTCTTGTAACTATATAAGAAAATAAAATTAAATTAAAGTTCAAAGTTCAAAGCAAGTCGAATGACTCCATGTCTTCATTATCAAGTTCAAAGTATAAAATGTTTTCCGTCAACGGGAAAACAAAAAGTCCGCGTTTTCAAGCATTGGTGTGGAAGGTAAGCCTAACCGTGGAAAACCTTGACCTTAGAAACAGACGAGGGCTATATATAACTAATGAACAACTCAATTACCACAGATATATATTAGCTTTAATTGCTTTAAGTTTCTTTTAAGGGTCACCAATATTGCTTGGTCTCCTGAAGTATCTTTGAGACCGTCCAAAACTGATAGATGCTGACAGGATTGTGATATCACTTTAGCCAGACAGGAAGGCTTTGTTTTAAGTTATGTTTCAAGGAGAAAGTGCGGATTAAAAAAATCAAATTTGACCAATTTAAACGTTGCTTTGAAATATTAACTGCATGCGATTTTTGCTGATACATGAACGTAAATAAAAGTACAGATAGGCAATATCTTTTCCATTTGTTTTAATAATAATAGTAATAATCAATTTTATTTATAGAGGGTAACACAGAACAGTAGATACACTGAAAAACAGTGGCTCTCGTATAAATATTAACAGAATAAAAGGACGAATTGTAAACCACAAGAAACCAATAAAAATAAATACTATAGAAAGAATTCTCAAATATGCAGCTATAATTTATAAAAAAAAAATGAAATAAAATGTGAGACTCGCTAAAGGTTTCAAGTTTAGCATAAGAAGGTTAGCCATACCTCACGCTGCATCCGAGATATTTGACTAAGCTCCGTGAGAGGGTACACAAATGCATGGTGCACTCAAATGTTCCAAACATGGTTACGGGCGGTTGTTAAGCAAAAACATGCAACATTTCAAATTTTGCCACTTTTAACTGTATTAGCTCCAGCAGGGAGACTTAGACGGATTGGAGAGAAAAGTGAAAAAAACTGAATTTGTTCGCCTTGTTTTCGTTTTATATTTCTTTTTCTTGGTATACTTGAGTTGTTTATTCCCTGGCTTTCTCAAACTCATTAATAATTCATCAAGTTAAAACAAATATTTTACTTTTCCGTTTACTCCTTAGGTTTTGTCTCGATTGAGCAAATAAAGAAACGACGGCAATCGCTTCGCTGAAGCATTATTTTTGGACGTTGTTTCAACAAAATAATTTAGCTTGAGCAGGTTTTAGGATCGTGAAACCCACTGAACAGATCGGCTAGATAATTTATTTTGTAAATACAATTTCACTTCATTGCTGACACCATGTATTATACATGTAGGTGCCATTACATTCTATTTCAAGTTACCTCGTTATGTTTGTTACTTCTCTGTTTATGTTGCTTCTTTTTGGTGCAACTTTGATCATTTTTAGTGAGAATTAGTCTCTCGTCCTGTCTCCCCTGTCCTATATTGGCTTAATATGACTGAGACTTCGTTCGATATAATAATTGGCATTATATACTGAATGTTTTCTTTTGCTTCTCTTCGAGTACGCCCAGAACCAAAAGGGCCCGGATTTATAGATTTTCTTCATTTTTTCGCTAAACGTAGAAAATCGATAGAGAAAATGATCCATCAAAAGAAAAATAGGGGTCACCGAAAGTCCAAGATCGTTAAATCCAGGCAAAGCTATAGCAATGGTCATCTGCCTTATCATTGGTTATTTTATTACTTAGCGCGCTCATCGATGTATGACGTGGTGTGTGAATTTGCGTGCGAGGTGAGGATGCGCAGAAACAATTAGCGCGAACGTCCATAAATTCGGATCGTTTCGGAACAGTTCTGTCGATGATCGTTTGTTGGCTTTCGGCTTTAATCGAGAATCTGCGACAAGGGTCTGGTAACGCGTTTTTCTCGATAGCAGGCCAATTCAAACCCCAAATGTGTGTCCGAGCAACCCTGCATGTTCCACGAGTAGGAACATCCTTGGTTTCTCTAGGTACACTAAAAAATAATAGAAACACAACTCCTCATGGATCACTTTAGGTCCTGTGGAATATTGTGAGCCGATGAACTTCAGTGAAAGTATTGTAATGGTCTTTTGAAAAATGCAAGCATAGTGGAGAATAACTTTTATGATGACTCTTTTGAAGTACTATAAAAAAAGTTATTGGTTTACAGCAGTATTCATTTACGTTTGTATTCGCTTAGAAGGCTTGTACTTAAATCTTGTTCACGTTGGAGCTTATTTTCAGGGGCAAAACCGATAACCTCAGCGCAAAATTTTGTGAGTACTGTGTTTTTGTGTTTCTTTTATCTGAATAAATAGCTAACTCCAAAAGCGAATATGTTAATGCTGGCAAACTTTCGCTTGTCCATTTTCGTGGCCGATCAGCCCTGTGCCGTCGGAGCTCATTTCCGGGAGCTAAGTCCATCGTTGTAATAATGTAAACTTTAAGAGTGATTTTCCGAGAGTGTGGAGAATCGGAAGACAGTCACGAAAAATCGAGTTTTCTTTTATTTCGCCAAAACATACCTTTGGGTTAACTTATTCATGGAAAAATAGTTTAAAGTTCCAACGATTTATTTTACGGCCAAAATTTAACAAAGTTCGAAATTTGCATATAATGGCGGTTTTTCGCGGCATAAAATGTTCAGAATTTCACGCTTCTTTACGAAAACAGCGGGGCGTAAAAACAATCCTATGAAAACAAAACTTTGCACAAATATTATTTCATTCTTATACTTTAAAATC